ATAAAGTCACCATTACGTCATGTCTACGAAAAAATTTGATGATCACTATATGACCTATGTATGACATCATTTTAAGGTCTTGTGTTCACTGGGTATAACCCCTTAAATGTGATAAATATTGTAAATAAAAACTTGTTTTGTTATAGAGAAACGCAACTTTGTCTTTATTTCTAAATCCAACATATCAAAGATCCAAAACCAATTAGAAACTCGTTATGATAGGATGTTCCGGCCACTCGTTGCTGTGGTTTTGTTATAAAATGTTGATTTAATATAATTCTAAACTATTTAGTAAATTATAACAACACACTACATAATACCACAATTAAAATACAATATATAAAATAATAATATTTGAAAAAATATAAAAAGTTAGGTTAGTTATGTCATCTGTAAATCTGAAAAAAAGGTATGAGGTGAATAAATTAAAATAATTGAATTGTAATACATCGCCATCCATTGAAAACTTAAACTACCTAGAAACCTAGATAACTTTTAAATAATAAATCCTTTAATTAGCAATAAAAAATAAAAAATTAATGCAATAAAAACTATTTTATATTCTAAGTTGGAAAAAATAACACAGAATACAAAAAATTTCATTAAAAACTGTTGAGTAGTTTCGGAATCCATAGGAAACCAACAATGTGACACTGAATTTTTATATATACAGAAGAAGATATATATATATATATATATATATATGGGGCATTCGTCGTCAAATTAGCCACTTTTGACTCCGATGCCTTTCGATTTGGAGGAAAGTTTTTTATCTTATTATACCCTATGAAAAACAATTTTCAGAATATTTTAAATTTTTTTACCAAACTCAAAAAAAATTATTAATTTTTAAAAAGAATGGTTCTTTTATTTGAAGTGGCTATAACTTTTTCAAAGTTTAACCTATTGGGACGTATTTATTTTTCAAATTTTTGCTTTTATATGGTTATCTGAGAAAAAAATTAAAATAAAACTTAAAAACTAAAATATCTATGAAATTTTCGCATTTTTTGAATAAAACAGTTATATGCTAGAAGTTCGCCATTTTGCATTTTCTTTTTAATTCTCTAAAAAAAACTTTGACTAATTCTGCGATTATCCTTACCAGTCTCAGAGTACGCCGAGTTAATTTTTTACATTTTTTATTTGATCGAAAAACAATTTTTTAATTTTCAAAATTTTTAATTTATTGTTTTTAAAATTAAATTAATGCAATTAAACAATTTTACCATATTATATACTTAATTTATAGTCTCAAAATACAAAGTTTTTCAAAAAAAAAAAACATTTCAACCTTTCGTTTTTTGCTGTAAGAATATGATGGAATTATTACGTCATTTTTAAGTCAGAACATATGACTTTATATTGAGG